TTTTTGTAAGGTTTCAATATCTTCTTTAAATAAATAACCTTGGAAAGGATTTTTAAATTTGTATACTAATTTGGATTTGTCGTTTATTTTTCGGGTTGAAGATTGCGATTCTGTAGTGCTGGTGTCGCTGTCGTTGTATTTACTTTCTAATTCGTCAAAACCCTCATCGCTCGTTACTTTTACTTTTTTTCCTTTTCCTTTCTTTTTAACTTTCTTCCCACTGGATCCTTCTCGTTTTTTATACGGTTCTTTGAAAATATCAAACGATAAATTTTCTAAAGAACTCTTCAAGTTTTTCTTTTTCAATTCAAATTTCGTTTTTGATTTTTTTTCAAAATCAAAATCGTATAAATGGTATAAAAGATTGTCGACTGAATCTTTACTGTAAACAATAAAATAATAGTCTGAAGAATTCTTTTATCTCGACTCTTAATTAATAATATATTCATTACCTGTGCTTTTCAATATTTAATGTAGTTCCGGGAGAATCTCTGAAATGTTCGGGAGGAGATGGAGCATCCCGAAATTGGTGGGGAGGAGAAACGCGAAAATCGTCATAACATGAATCGGTGTTTTGTTTGTTTGATTTTTCACACCGAACAGCTAATTTTTCCAATCTGAAAACAAACGCAAATCATAAATTTAAAATTTTAATTCTAAATTGTTCATCTCACAAAGTTTTTAACGGAAGTCTTACTTTTCCAAAAGAACTTCTCCATCCAAAATGGGTTCCAAGGGACTACTGTTTATTTTTTGCAATTGTAGAGTAGAATAATCGGGAAGTTCTTTTCCATTTAAGGCTGCATCCGGACTTAGAGCACCACTTGAAGAATGAGTTTCTGATGAATGTCTAGACGAATTTGAGACCCATCCACTTTGTTCGGATGTTAATTCGTCGCTTACGGAAGAAAGAGGAGACGATAGAAATTGACCTGAAGCTCGAGTGAGATTGATAAAGTTAATATTAAGAGAAAAGAGTTAAAATTATTTTCAAAAAAAGTAATAATTTAGTATTAATATAGTATTCACCAAATTTCGATGGCTTTATTTCTAAAACTGAGCCGGGATCATCTGCAGATTCTTCAATAATGGTTGAATCGTTTATTTCATACAAAGCTAGTATATCTTTGTTTTCCAAATATCTTTTATGACTGAATCGAGATGTAATTAATCCAAAATTTTTTGGAGAATCGTTTGGGGACTGAATTAGATTAGGCATAGATTCACTGCAGTTACCCAAAAAACATTTCAAATTATTGTTTATTATTTCGGCGTGAATCCCACGGGCATTTGGCATAGATAAAGTACTTTCCGAATGTTTTAGACTTCCGATTAGAGTATAACCACAATTATTTTGCACACTTGGATATTCACTTAAACTAAAGGGTGCGCTTAAACTTTGTTCCAATTTTTTACTAGCTCCAAAATTTACTTTACAATTGTTGTTTGCTTTTTCTTTGGAGTTTTTACTTGAAGTTGTTTCTGAAGACCAACAATCCTTATTGGAAATTTTCGAAGAGGTATTGGGAACGTTATAAGGCATCTGAGAAGAAGTAGAACGGGTATGCTTTTAGAAGAAGTTGGCACTTGGCTGGTATAAATTCCCGTATTTTTTAATTGGTCCAAAGATTTGCTATGTTTTTGACGTACGGGAAAAGTTTTATATGAATCCGTCGCTCCGGTTTTACTGTTTTTTTCATCGTTATACCTTAATAACATAGTAGATATGTTAGTCATCATTTCTTTTTCTTTAAAACAAGAACCTATTGTTAAAGTAGCTTTAACAATATTTTCCTTATCAATGGTACTTTCTGAAACCTAAAAAAAAAAAAAAAAAAAATTTTTATTTTTTAGGAATTACATTAATGAATAAAAAATAATAAAATAATTAAAATAAATAAATAAAAAGTAATAAAATAAAATAGTAAATTAAATATGTAACATTAAATTACCTTTAAACTTTTTAAAGAAACATGAGTGTTTAATTTTTGAAAATTTAAACTTCGTTGATTGGATAACTTTAGGTGATTAGAACTATTTTGCGATCTAGACTCTAATATGGCTACAATACCGCAGCTACAGTCTTCTTGTTTGACGGAACATTGAGGTACAATATCGCTTTCTAAAAAAATTCACTATTTGAAATAAAATTTTCAAAGAATGTAATCTATACAATTTAACCATCTTACCGTTTTCCAGGCTTTTTGATGTACCATTGCGCCTTCTTGCAAATTCTGCAACATCCTGATATTGATCTTCAAAAATAATTGGCATTGTAGCTATATCGCCATCAAGCTCTGAGCAAGTAACGGGAAGTGGTGGAAGAGAAGCTAAATATCTAGACCTTCGAACAGTTTCCGACACGGCAAGGTAGCTCTGATAATTGGCATCGTAACAACCAGAAGCAGATTGTCTAGGATTGTCAACGACGAAAAATGCTTCCGCAAATCTTTTTACCTAAAATTTAATGTGAATTGAATGCAACATTTCAAAAGGATCAATGATTTATTGTTTAAAAAAACACAAAATTAATTACTCTTAGCTGATGATGATATTTAGCCAAATATTGAAGTATTGGAACTTTGCATGTAAAAGCATCTAAAAATTGCTGCCAAAGAATAATATTTTCAGCACACAGTTGAGCAATATCGCTATTGGCAACTGTTATAAAATCATCTTCAGCTTCTATTAACTAAAAAGGAAACGTACGCAAATAAATTCACAATATTTTTAAAACCTTTACAAAATTCAAAACATAAGTTTTTAATTTACTTTTGCATTTTCGCTCAAATTATTTAAGCGCTTCACACAGTCGCTGGTTTCGAGTTTGAATTGCTGCCATGTTGGTAACAGTTTCATGTATTCTTGTAATTGAGTTTGTAGAGTATCGTAAGTTGTCAATAAAATGCTACATACTTCCTGATGAATGCGACGCGCGTGAGACAATCTAGCCCCTGAAGATACGCATTTTGCTCCATTCTGCATAGATCAATTATTTTTTTACAGTATAAACTCACATGCATAATGAAACAATAAATTTTGACTTCCACCTTTTGAAAGATAACAAAAAAAAATAAGGACAACTGGTGTATATTTTAATAAAAAAGGATGAATTTGTTGGTAAATGCTTGATAATTAAAATAAATAAAACAAAAAACACTTAATAAAATAAAATCATAATAGGGCAAATAATATAAAATGTAAGTAATGTATACACAAATTTCAATCTCATAAGTTTTTATTAATTTAGTAATACATACCATGGATCCAAAAAATAATGTGTCCATTGATTGTGGGTAATGAGTGTGTAAACGATATGATGTGCCAAATAGAGGCTTGGAGCTGCGAGGAGTGCTGAAATTTAACATTTAAAAATTTAGTACTAATTTCTTTTTTTTTTTTTGAAAAAGTGAAAAATCTTTCAATTTTTCAATTTTTTTTTTTTGAGTGAGCAAAGGCTTAATAGTAACATTATTATTACATTTAAATAACTTTAAAGTTATTATTAATTTTAAAAATATCTTACCAGCTTTGCATATAATGCAGAATACTTTTCCTTTAAGACATACAGTGCAAAAAAAATTTTAATAAAAAATTTTGAATAGTGTAATTTTAAAAAAATCAAAAATGAAGTTTACATTCTTTTTACTTACTTGATGTAGGGTTGATGCAAAGCAATAAGAATCGCATGAATGGTAATGGTGACTGCAGCTAGATGAAAATAGTCAAACAGAACAGGCAAATGATAATGTAAGCCTTTAATAGGTGAAAAATGAAATTTTAAAGTTCTTATTGAAACACATGAAGTTCCATTTTGTTGACAAAATAAATAAGGCTGCTCGGTAAACCATAATTCAACGTTAAGAGAAAAATCGGCTTTTTCAAGAATTTCTTCAATCTGAAATTTTAAAAATAATTTTACCTTAACACAGACACCTTTATTTATGCTGTTGATTATTTAAATTTAAACAATAAAATTACTCGCCTTATGGCTGTCCACTAAAATATGAACCCTAAATAAAATAACATTGTCTAATAAAATTTCTTGGTTTCTATATAAAATTTGAAAAACTCTACTGACGCCACAGCCATTGTCAACAAAAGGTGAAAAGATCTGTTCAGATCCAACTGAAAAAATTTTTTTTATTAATTTGATTTTTTTGAAAGTGTAAACAGATTAAAAAATTTAAAGAAAAAAAAACGCATAAATGTATTAAATACCTAGATTTTTAGCTAAATTAACTTCAATTTTCACAGACAATTTTGGAGAAACTTTTAAATTTGTGCGAATTTGGTAAAATCTGCAATTTAAAATTGAATTTAAAACAAACAGTTATTAAAATTATTAATTATTATTTAATATGTATTTTAATTTTCTGAAAAGAATAATTTGAACAAAAAATAATACTTGCCCCCTTTGAAATAAATCAACATTGTAAAACTTGTGAAGTTCAATGGAAAACTCTACTGTGGCTTGCAACTCGCTCATTTCAATTTTAGGTCCATACCTGTTTACTGAAAAAACAACAGTACAAAAAAAATTTACATCAACCAGGTGTAATATTTCTAATTATATTCTTTTATTTTTTATTTTTATTTCGTTAGACGTAAGCCTCACATGGATTAGAAAATGCCTTAATTCTACTTTCTTTTACTATATGCCGTCGACTTTAGCAGGTTTCAGTTATACTTCATAGTACCATTTACTATAATTTAAAATTTACTGAAACCAAATTCTGAAAGGATTTTTTTAAAAATTACGCCCAAAAAAGAAGAAGTAAAGTTAACAAATGTAAAGCGACCTTATACTAGCTTTAAAATTTTTCTAAAAAAAAAACAAAAATTACTTACTTTAGATTGCGTTACAGGTTACTTTACAGAAAATTAATAAATTCCTATAACATTGCCTTGTATAAAAATTTGTAGTCATTGATAAGGCTTAACGCCGAATTATATTTTCTTTTTGTACCCATTCCGCCATTTTTAAAATGGAAACTCAGACAAAGGATCCTTTTTATAACACCTGTGTCGTAAAAAGGCGCGAAATACTCTCTAATCTCTTACACTGGTCACAGGTTGCTTATTTTATTATTATTTTACAATTTATTTTGTAATCTTACCATGATGTCAAGAAAATTTGGTGATGTTGATGGGCATGTTTTAAAGGAATTTCAAAATATAAACGTAAATGATTCTCGAGTAAGTCTAATTGTAAAAAAATTAATGAACTAAAAAGTTTCAGGTTAATTTTGCTTTAGCATTTAGTAGTAGAAAGAAAAGGAGGATTTATATAATATAATGATACTATAAAAAGTTTAATTTTTATTTAGAGTTTTAATTTTGGTAAAATTATATTTAGAAAAAAATTTATTTTTATTAATTTTGTAAAAAAAAATTTTTAGGCGCAAAAAGGACAAAATTACCAAAACGGTGATAAAGATAATATATCCTTTTTAAAAGATTCAAATAAAGAAAATATTAATAAAAAGGTCTTTAACAAAGAAATTGAACCATTATTGAAAGAGAACATAAAACGGTTTGTGATTTTCCCTATTGAATTTCCTGATATTTGGCACATGTATAAAAAAGCTGAAGCTTCTTTTTGGACAGTAGAGGAAGTGGATTTGTCCAAGGTAAAATCATTATCGAAAATAATAATTAACTTTTTTATAAGCTCAATATTTAACATTAATCTGACTTTGATTAAAATTCTTAAAAACATGTTTTAGGGGTTCTCAGTGCTATCTCTTTAATGAAATTAAAGTTACATCTTTTCGTTTTTTAATAATTTTTAACATTCATTTATTTATAGTATAATTCTGAATTTATTTTTAGGATCTGGAACACTGGGAAAGATTAAAGCCTTCTGAAAGGCATTTTATCTCTCATGTTTTGGCATTTTTTGCTGCATCTGATGGTATAGTAAATGAAAATTTGGTTGAAAGATTTAGTCAAGAAGTTCAAGTTTCAGAAGCAAGATGTTTTTACGGTTTTCAAATAGCAATGGAAAATGTTCACTCTGAAATGTACAGCTTGTTAATAGACACTTACATTAAGAATCCCACTGAAAAGTAATTTGATAAAATTTATTTTTCAACAACTATTTATTTGAATATTTTATTTTATTTCAAATTTTTTTACAGACACTTTCTTTTTAATGCTATTGAAACAATGCCATGTGTCAAAAAAAAAGCTGATTGGGCATTAAAATGGATAAGTCATAAAACGGCTACTTTTGCTGAACGAGTTGTTGCATTTGCAGCTGTCGAAGGAATTTTCTTTTCCGGTTCTTTTGCTGCTATATTTTGGTTAAAAAAGAGAGGACTGATGCCTGGTTTGACATTTAGTAATGAATTAATCTCAAGAGATGAAGTAAATAATATATTTATTTTTCTACTGTTAGAAATATGTATTTACTATTTTATTAATAAATTTTTTTTTCTTTTTTCAGGGTTTACACTGTGATTTTGCTTGTTTAATGTTTAAGTATGTTGTTCAAAAACCGACTGAAGACGAGATTTGCGACATAATAAAAGATGCTGTTGCTATTGAACAAGAATTTTTAACAGAAGCACTTCCTGTAAATTTGATTGGTATGAATTGTTCGTTAATGAAAAAGTATATTGAATTCGTAGCAGATCGTCTTTTGGTAGAACTCGGTTGCAAAAAAGTAAGAATTTAATTTAAACTGTTGTTGATTTTAGTTTTTTTTTTATTTATATCTAATTTAATTATACATTATTTAGATTTACAATTCGGAAAATCCTTTTGATTTTATGGAATATATATCATTGGAAGGAAAAACTAATTTTTTTGAAAAAAAAGTTGGAGAATATCAAAAATGCGGAGTTTTGGCTAATAAAGAAGATAACGTTTTTACTTTGGATGCTGATTTTTAGATAAAATATATTTTTATTATTTTTTTTTTTTTTACATAATGATTATTATTATAAACATTCATAATTATTTTACCTTATTTAAAACAATTATAACTGATAAAGACAATAATGTAGTTTTTATTTTTTTTTTTTTTACCGTAAGACAGAAAATTTTTATAAAAAATTTCAAGTTTATTAATGAAAGTTTTTTTTTATTTTATTAAAATTTTTTTATTATTTTGACTTAATTAATTAAACATGAGCATTTTTTTTCTTTTAAAGATAGATATTTAATAACAAGATTATATTTAATATACTTTTTATTAGTATAATCAAAAATATAAGATTTGATAATTATATATTATATATATATTTTTTTTAAAAGTGTAATATTTTATAGTTATTTCAGTATTATTATTAAATTTATGTAGTGTTTTTTTTTTTGCTTTAAATTTTTTTTAAAAATTTATTTATGATTAATAAAGATTGATTAAATTATAATTAATAACGTTTGTTTTTTTTTTTTTTTTAATAATCCTTTTTTTTGTAATAGAGTAGTTTTGAAGTTTTAATTTTCTTAACTTTTATTTGTTTCAAAAAATAATTACCGAAATTATATTTTTACTTAATTCGATTAAATTTTTTTAATTATTTTTGGTAAGTATTTAAAATTAATTTTTTCAAAAATTTCGGGTAATGAGGGTAACATAAATAAAAGTAAAAAAATCACCTCGAAAATTTATCAAAATAATCAAACCAGTGGAGTCCATTTTTTTTTTTTTTTTTTTTTTTACCAATCACCTTTTTTAAATAATCTCCTAAGTAGGTTAATAATAAATCTTCATCCCTTTTTATGCGGCAGGTCACGCAAATGTATATCGATCAATATTTTCACCATTTATAACAATAGTGAGATTCAAGTTAAAAAGGTTAAAGTTTTAAAGAATAATTTTTTAAATATTTATTTTTTAAGTGGTTTATTTAAATTTTTTGAAAATTTTTTAATTCTTTGCGTAACAAAATCTTTTAACTTATTCGTGTGTTAACTTTTCGGCATTAAAATTTAAAAAAAAAAAGTAAAAAAGGAATGAGTAAGATATAAAAAATAATTTGAATGAATAAAATTTACCTGAATGTTTTGAAAAATAATATTTTTTTTGAATAAAAATTAAATTAAAATTATGTAAAAAATTTTTTCTAATATGGCGGCCGATTTTGAATTCTCGTTAAATTCTCGTTAAAAAAAGATAATTTTTTAAAATTGGAAAAATGAGTAAGTAAAAAATTAGTATTTATTAATTAAAATTAACTGAAGGTCAATTTTTTTAAATTACCAATTTAAGTTTAATTTTTTTTCGTATTTAAATGAACATTTGACTAATTTCATAAAATTTTATAAAAAATAAATTAATTTAATATATTTTGATTAATGGCGAGAATATCTTAAAGGTGCAATATAATAATAATTGATGATTCATTTTCTAAGTTGAATAGTTCCCTTAATTATAAATGAACGTTTACATAAAATATTTAACATTAAATATCATTTAAGGTGGTTGTTTTAACGGTTTAACAGTGTTGCATTTTTCACGGAATCAGAACTTTTTTTAAAATAATTTATTCCGTTATTAAAAAATTTATCAATAACGGTGTGGAATGGTATTAAAATCAATAAAAAAAAAAATTTATAACACCTACTTCTCGCTAAGTTTTAATTAGAGAAATTTTTTAAATTTTCAATTGGAATGTTTTTTAAAATAATAAACAACGCATAGTATTTTTTTTATATGAATATTTTACATTTGTTGTTTTACTTGAAACAATCTGTAATCTCTTAAACAAAAAAAAAAAATTTAACATTTAATTACTGCATTTTGACTTACAGATTATCATTAAGTTATATTTACATTAGGAAGTGATATAAATATTTAAAATGAATAGATACATAACTTTAAATCAACTTGGTGATGGTACATATGGATCAGTGGTTTTGGGGCAACGTGTTGACACCGGTGAAAAAGTTGCAATAAAAAAAATGAAAAGAAAATATTATTCTTGGGATGAAGCTATGAATTTAAGAGAAGTGAAAGTCTGTCATTTAATTATTTATTATTATTATTATTGATAATCACAGATTACCAGACAACTGCTATTTTTTTAAATTGAAAATGTTTTTTTTTTTTTTTTTTTTTTTTTTGCAGTCCTTAAAGAAATTGAGTCATGCCAATGTTGTTAAATTAAAAGAAGTTATTAGAGAAAATGATACACTTTATTTTGTTTTTGAATATATGCAAGCAAATTTATATCAGCTTATGAAAGACCGTGGAAGATTATTTCCAGAGCCTGTGATTCGCAATATTGTTTTTCAAGTACTGTTGCAATATAATTTATTTTATTTTGTTAATTTATTTATTTAAAATAACTAACGCTAAACGGTTTTTTTTAAAAATAGATTTTACAAGGATTGGCGTTTATGCATAGAAATGGGTTTTTTCATAGAGATATGAAACCCGAAAACTTATTGTGTTGTGGTCCCGAATTAGTTAAAATAGCCGATTTTGGTCTTGCTAGAGAAATACGTTCGAGACCACCTTACACAGATTACGTTTCAACAAGATGGTAAATTAATAATTTACTTAAAATTATGTAATTAATTCCCACATTTTTCCGGATAATATTTCTTTAGGTACAGAGCTCCAGAAGTACTACTTCACTCAACTACCTATGGAAGTCCGATAGATATTTGGGCTGTTGGGTGCATCACTGCCGAATTATATACTTTTAGACCACTATTTCCGGGAAGTAGTGAAATTGATGAAATGTTTAAAATTTGTTCTATTTTAGGAACTCCCGATAGAGTAAGGCATTTTACCTGTATTTGTCATATTAGGTATGGAAATTTTATGCTTATAAATTTGAATTACCAATATAAACATATTTTACAGAAAGAATGGCCAGAAGGCTATGTTTTGGCTAGTGCAATGAATTTTAAATTTCCTAAATTTTCAAAAATCCCCCTAAGCTCGGTGGTTACTGGAGCAGGAAAAGAAGGAATCACTTTAATAGAAGATATGTTAAATTGGTGTCCAGGAAAAAGGCCAACAGCGCAGCAATCCTTAAGGTAATAAATCTCATCTTTAATTTTTATAATAATAATAAACTAAAAAAATCTTTTGTTTTAGGTATCCATATTTTCAAACTGGTCAAATATTAGGAAATAATTCTCAAAGTATTTCAATAGATGCAACTTCAAACAGTCAAGGTGTCAATACTAATTATATAAAAAGCGCCATAAATAGATATCCAGATATACGTAGGGAGGAACATAAAACCACTAAAAATTTTTCAAATTTTACTTTTTTACCAGATAAATTACCAAAAACCCCCAAAATTTTCCTATCCTCACCTGATATTGATGAAGCTCCAGCAAGTAAAATTACTAAATGTGATATTGTGACTGGAAATTCTAATACTGTAGTTAACACAAGAAGTAATATCAGCACAAACGTGGACAAATTATTTAACACTTCTGAATTAAAAGAATACACAAAAAATGAAAAACCTATTCTTAAAACACCTTTTAAACCAATGAATTTGTTATTTGACAATCATCCCGGGTCGCACAATTTAAGTAATCCCGTTTATAATGTTAACGAACCAATTAAAAATAGTTATAAAAACTTAAACAACCAACATATGAAAAAAGAAACAACTTTTCAGTTTCTAAATATTTAACTAGTAGGCCAAATAATTTCAGCGATAATATTTCAAATAATTCAAAAAAAAAAACCTTTTTAAGCAATCCTAAAAATGAAATAGATGCCGCCATTTTAAGGTAAATTAATTTTTTGTTTTGAATTTGTAAGTACAATTTCCGAGGATTAAAAAATTATATATTTTAGTATTAAAAATTATATTCTTCTTATTAAAGTAAACAAATTCCACTTAATTCTTCTAAACTTCAAAATAATATTTTAAAAAGAGAGAATAGCGGGAAATGGTTGTTGTCAAGTAAAAGAAAAATTAATGCTAAGGAACATTACTTAAGTTTAGCCAGGTATATTGCTGGTCAAAGTACTAATATTTCAAGGTACGGTGATAAAGTTTTTTAAAGTTTGCATTACGAAATGTGCCTTTATTATAATTTTTTCAGAACGTTTACTTTTATTTTAGAAAAAATGAAAATATTTTAAACAGTGAAACAGATACACAAACGTGGGGACAACTTGGAAGCATTCAGAAACATGATTTAGAACCTTATGTTGTAAAAACATATCAAAGATTACCATATGAAGGTATTAATTTCAAACAATTTAAATTCAATTTCTAAAAATGAAGTTCAAAAGCCAAAATAAGTTTGTTTTCTTTTTGACAGCCATAAAAATAGGTGGTTCTGGATTACCGGTTAGAGCAGCAGTAGGAGGTACAAAAGCCAATGCTGGACCACAAAGAAGAATAGATTGGGCCGCCAAGTAAGAATAATTGTCAAATTTTTTATATTCCCTACAATTTTTTTGACCATAATGTAATTTCTAAAAAATATTTTCTATTTATAGATATCTAAAATGAATTATAAAATTTATTATAAGAATCCTGAATGCTGAAAATAAGAATGTGAACAAAGACAATAATGAAATTATATCTAGTAATTATTCATATGTATACTTCCTCACAATTCACATTAACACTTCCTTTGCCGAAGAAGAGCTAAGACAAGCTTAGAAGCACAAGTCATGCTTTTCATAGCCATTAAAATATATTATTATTAAATATGTTATTTAAATGTTATTATTATTGCTTATTATTTAAATATATTATCTATAAATTGCTTTAAATAATAAGCATATATATGTATTTTTAAAATAACTTACATAAGAATTTTTATACGAAATACATATATTTTTAAAATGTAAACAAAAGTTAAAAATTTATAAAATAAAATAGCCATTATAACAATATTATTTATATATAATTATTTATTATAGTACAATTTATATATACACATTCAAAAATATATTTATGTTAAATTTTAATTTTTTTTTCGTATTTCAATATTAAATTTTTGTAAAATTTTAATAGTGAATTCAGCATTATTTCAAAATAAAAAATTAAATCGACAAAAATAATACTTTAACACATTATTAAATAAAATTTAATAAATATTATAAATATTACTTATCATAAATATTTCATTGTCATAAAAAATTTGAAATAAAAAAATATTTACATAAACTGTTTCAATCATTTATTTTAAGCGGAGCTAAACATATGGAATCACCACCTGCATTGGAATCTAATATCAGACCAGATTCCTTTAATTGATTAATATCAATTATACCTTGTTTTGACATAAGACCTATAACTTTTTGATTTTTCAAGTTATTCTCACAAATATTGTGAATTGCTAGTATACTCCACTGAGTTATAAAAGGATTATTACTATCAATAATACAACAGTCTAAAATTATTTGTATACCTTCTAATTCGTTAATAATGTCTTGTAATTTTGAATTTTTCCAACACATATTACCAATTATTCTAATCAAATCAGCCTTAAATCCAAATACAGGATTATCTGAACATTTTTCATCCAAATTGTCAAGATCTGATAATTTGCATTTCATTTTAAAATTATTTTCATTTTCTTTTTTTAAAGCATGTACAGCTTTTAATAGTGTTACACAGTTAATAAAAAAAGAAGTTTCTTTTTGAAGAACTTTTAAACATTTTTCATCATCAGAAGAAAAGCAAATCAGCAATTCAAATAACTTTAATATTTCTCTTATTAAATAATTGGTATCTTCTTTTTTTTCAGCTACATTTAAAATCCAGTTAGACTTTAATGAAAAATCATCAGAAAAAAATTTAATTACATTTAAGTTTTCAGTTGATAATAATTTTTCTTTTACTAGCCTTTGGATTTCTTCTAAAATTAAACATTTGTATTCAGTTTTTAATTGGTTATAAAATCTTTCTAGATATTTTATGTTTGTGATAAAAAGGTCCAAAATAAATACTGAATATTCAGAAGAGTTTTCTCTAACTGCCAAATCAAAAATTGTAACATAGGGGTGTGAGAGATTACATATACAGCTTGGATTACCCAAAAAAATATTGTACATAATCATTAGAGAGCAGTGCTGAATTTTAACATTGTCAAGGATTAAACAACTTGTTAGTAAATCTTGACAAGAAGACCAAATTTTTAATTGATTACTTTTATTATTTACCAGTAAGTTGCCTAAAAACTGTAAACCGACTATAAGACATAAATTTAATTTTTCTTCGATGGTTTTGCTCAAACTAATTTCCAAAAGTAAATTTTTAGTATTTTCAATAATTTGTGAGTTTTTTGATATGGCATTCTGGTACTCTACACCTTTGGCACATAAATTTCTTAATTGTCTAAAAGCATTAATAACATCATCAAGTTTAACATAATTAGAGTTTTTTGAAAAATTGCATATAGTTTCTATTGATAATTCCATGAAGCAATTATAAAATATAATACATTCGATAATTTCACACAAAGAATTTGTTTAATTTTTCACTAATACATACAATGACATACGTATAATGCATAAGTATTTATTTAAGTATTTTTTAGCAGACGACAATTTTAGGCGGCAATTTTAAAAGTTTTGTAAATCTGAATTTAATTTGGTAAAATTTTAAAAAACAGAAAAAATATAACAGAAAAGATGAAAAAGGTTGTAATATTTTACTGAAAATATTTAATAAATATTACATTTATATCATGATACAGAAAAAAATTTTGGGAAAAAAAAATTTTATTATTCAGTTTTGATTAAATTATAATTTTATTAAAAAAAAAAAATTTATTTATAAATTTTTATAATAAATTATAATATAATTTTTAATTAAATTTAATTATTAATAAGTACATAAAATAATTTATAATGATTGTATACTAAAATAAAATAAAAAATAATAATAAAATCTTAATTTTTATGTTGGCCAATGTTAGAAAATGATTCATGAATATTCTAATGACACGCTAAGTTTATCGTGGTTAAAATACCATGAATCAAAACTACTTTGTCTTGGAATAAAATCAAAATGGATAAAACTCAAGACTTGTGTGGTAGCTTAATAAAATGGGTAAGTGACTAGATGTAAAAAATGTGATATAAAGCAAATTGTTTTGTAAGAATAAGTTATATTTTGTTATTTGCCACAAATTTTAAATTTCCTTGTGTTATATAAGAAGTTACTTAGAACCTAAATCTGACCTATATATGTATTGTAGCAGTCAAGTAAAAAAATAGTGAAACTAAATACAAACTTTGAAGTCTTTAATTTTTGCACTTAAATTGGAATGGCTTTTACTTTTACATTTATTTCTGATTAACGTTTAAGTGATTTAAATTTAGACTGAAATTTGTATAACCAGAAAATTTTAAATCATATATTGCATATTATAAAATTAATTCATGTATTTTACAGTTACAAACTTTTGAATTGGAAGCACCTCATAGAACAGCTGAAGATATAAGTGATGGGGTTGCAATGGCACAAGCTCTTGCTCAAATGTAAGTTAAAATTCTTTTTTTTAAAAGAGTGTAATAATTTTAGATTAATGTAATAAATGCTTAAAAAAGAATTTTTTAAAAAGTGTAATTTTTATTGCTGGATATGTGCAATATGAGCACTTTCTTTTTTTTTATTTATAAATAATTAATCTCCTTTTTCTAAATGTTAAGTATTTATTGTTGTGTTTAAGAAATAAATAAAAATTTATTTATTTTAGAGCTCCTGAATGGTTTTCTGATGCATTCACTTCAAAAATCAAGGCAGATGTCATATCAAATTGGAGATTGAAAGCTAGTAATTTGAAAAAAATTGTTGAGGCTATTGTTGATTATTATCAAGAATGTTTAAATCAACAATTACTCGACTTTAAGAAGCCAGACATCAATCAAATTGGTATGTATTGTAAAATGAATACTCCAAATTAAGGGTTTATTCTTAATAAATGTTATTTATTCAAATTTTTTTTTTACAATTCAAAATTATTAATTAGCCGAAAAATGTAATAGAGAAGAGCTGGGAAGATTATTACAATTAATTTTGGGTTGTGCTGTAAATTGTTCTCATAAGCAAGATTATATTACTATTATTATGGGAATGGAAGAAAGTGTACAGCAAGTTATAATGCAGTCAATTCAAGAACTTGAAAATGGGGGGGTTGCAGTGAGTAGTGAAGATGCTCAAATTCAAAGACTTATGATAGACATAAATAAAGCTGTGGAGGAAAGGAATCAAATGAAACAAAGATGTCACGAATTGGATATGCAGGTAAAAATGAAATTTTATAAGAAAATTTTTATCGATAATTAAAAATTAAATAAATTCTAATAATTTTATCAAATTGATTTGAAAAAAAAAGTAAAAAGATAAATTACATTTATTAGGTCAGTTTCTTACAAGAAGAAAAAGCTAATATACTTCAAGAAAACAAAAAATTACAAGAAAGACTTCAGGAAGTAGATAATCCATTAAATTCCTCTTTAGTAGCAGGAAGTAAATATAATACTTTAAAAAAAGATTTTGATGCCTTAAAAGAAGAAATTTTTAGAGTTGAAACGTCACGAGATGATTTGCGCCTTAGAGTAGAAGCTCAAGAATGTGATTTAGTCGAACTGCAGAATAAAGTTGAAGAACTTCAAGTTCATGCAGATGAGGCCAGGCATTTAAAAGTTAGTAAAAGATGATTAGAATTAATAATGCTTTGCTTATAGAGTTGTAAATCAGTGTTTTTTTATTTAATTTAGGATGAAATAGATATTTTAAGAGAAACTGCAGATAAGGTTGGAAAATATGAATCCACAATAGAATCTTATAAAAGAAAATTAGAAGAATTAAGTGACCTTAAAAGACAAGTTAAAATTTTAGAAGAAAAAAATACAAGTTATATGCAACACAATTTAGAACTAGAAGAAGAAGTAAAAAAAAATGGAACGTGGAAGCCACAGGTAGAAATGTATAAAAAACAGGTTGCAGAATTACACCAAAAACTTTCAGAAGAAACTAAAAGAGCTGATAAATTTGAATTTGAAGTTAAAAAAGGACAAGAAAAAATTCTTGCATTAACTAGAGAGAAAGAACACTTAATTGTCGAAAGGGACTGTTTGAAAGAAACTAATGAAGAATTAAAATGCACTCAATTGTCGACAATGCCAGCCGGAGGAGCACTTTCTGTTCACTCAGATCCAAGGTATGGCGAGACGGGAATCGAAGAAATGTTGCCTCCGGAAATAAAAGAAAAATTAGCGAGATTAATGATGGAAAACAAGATGTTAAAATTAAAACAAGAAGGCTCTGGTAACGAACAGTTGCCCATCGTTCAGGCATTACTCGAAGATGCAAAACAGCAAGTTCAAACCCTAACGTCTGAGAATAGACTTGCTAACCAAAGAATACTCAAGTTAGAAAGTCAAATCGAAGAACTTCAAGCGGAGCGACCCGCAGATGCAAATTCGGATACATTATCATTAAGAAAAGAATTGATGGCTCTTCAAGCTTTTAGTAGAAATTTAACTTTGGAACACGAAAATCAAAAACAAAAAATTGAGCAACAGGAAGAAAGTATAGAGGAAGCCAGCAGGAAAAATGTTCATTTAAAAGATACGCTTTCGAGAAAGGAAGCGGAAATACAAAGTTTGGAAGAGCGATATAAGAAATGCGTTGAAAAAGCTAAAACGGTTGTGGCTTCGTTCGATCCCAAGCAAAATCTTGAATTAACGGCTTTAAAAAACCAACTAATAGAAAAAAATAATTTGATTCAAAGACTTGAGAAAATAGAGGAAATAAATAAAAATTTCAACACCGAACATAAATTTTTAATAACAAATTTTTATCGTATGGTAAGTTTAAATAATTAAATTTTACTTTCGCGAATTTATTATATTTTTTCATTTATAAAAGAATAATTTTTGTTTTTTTTTTTTTTTTTCATACTTTCAGGCAAGTCAAAAGCAAAGAGAATCCGTAGATCAAAGACTTGCCGGATTGAGTTCAGGACAATCATTTATGGTTAGACAAAGGCAACCCATCAACAGAAGATTACCCAACAAATAAAAATTGTAAGATGGGTGTTCACGATTTAAGGAATCTCTAAAAAGTAAGATGACATTTTATTTATTTATTTGGTGTTTGATTTTATTAAAAAAAAACCTTGCATAAATACGTAGCAACCCAAATCGAAAATTATATTTATCAAATCTTTATTTTTTTAAATAATTAAAAAAAAAAAAAATACTTGTTTGATCAAGTCATAGTGAATGGTTTTGAATTAGATACTTGTAATTAATGATTGTAAAAATAAAAAAAAATGATTGATTGCTTTTTATTTCTGACATTGAATTCAAGATTGCACACACACACACCCACACACTGTAATTAAAAAAATTTTTATTAGAATATTATTATATTTCTAAAAGTTATTGTTGTTGTTACTTAATTTTTTTTTTTCATGTAAAAAATATTAAATATAAATAATATATGACCTTAATTTAATCACTATTAAGTTGTAATAAAGAAAAAAGTATTTTACTTTTTAATATATATAAATATAAAGATAATGTCTTTCACATTAAAATAAAATTATTTTTTTTTAAATGTATCTATTGTATAATATATATATAATAAATAAAATTTAAATAACAGTCACACTAAATGTTTTAAATAACAAATTTATTTACTTTTTATCAACCTTTGATTTAAAGCACATTTTTTTTTTTTTAGTAACATTAATCTAAAAAAAAAAATAATAATAATATTTAAAACTTTTCACAATTTTTTTTAAATGTTAGGATTTTTTTTTTTTTATAAAACATTTAAGAAAATAAAAAAATTAACATTTTTAATAATAATAATAATAAAAAATAGTATTAGAAAAGCACTTGTTGATGATGAATTAATTTTTTGTGATTTATTACAACCATTATAATCGCAAGTCAATACACAACCATTCATTGCTTGATCTTGATATTTAAACATGCCACATTGTGAATCCATTGTTTTCATAACGCAAGCACGAATAATCATTCTTTCGTTGGTTTCCACTAAAAAATTACAGAAAAATTTATCTATAATAATGGCCGTGAATTATGACGAGGACAATTTTTTTTTTTTTTAAATTTACTTACTATTTACTCCGGTTATTTTAATGCAAAAATTAGCTGGAAATAAACCAACGTGATTTTTTTTCGGTACCATACATTTTTCCGTATATTCTGATAAATGTGTATTTATTGGATCTTCACAGTAAACATTACTTCCATTTATTGAAGAGCAGGTATAGCAATTTATACAGTAACTTTTTAAAACAATTTTAAATTCATTGTTCACCGGCACTTTTTATTAATAATTAATTTATATTTAAAAAACTGTTTTTTTTTTTTTTTTAAAATCTGACTTTAAAAACGTACCTTGTAACATAAAGAAAAATGATGAAATAAGAAACGTTGTCCAAAATTGTAAAGATTTTACCATTGTTTTTTTTTTTTTATTTAAAAAAAATTATTTTGATAAATTAATTATATTAATTTTTAATAAAATATTCATAAATAACTGCTTAAAAAAAAAAAATTATTAACTCTTTAATCGTGCTGGATTATTATTATTATTTTTTTTAAACCGGATTTGTTAAAAGTATGACTTTAATAAAACATAATTCCCAAAATTCGTTAATAATTAACATTTTTAATATAAAATGAACAAATAAAATGATTACTTTATTGCCTTTTTTTTTTGATTGTCAAGTTAAAAAATTATATTTAATAGTAAATATTTCGTTCACGAATAAAATAAATTATAAATATATACAACAACAAATAGATAGATTATAATAATAATAAATAAATTCGAATTATAAAAAAAAAAAAAAAACACAATTTTAAATATTTTTTTTATATATATATATAAATTTATTTATAATACATTTTGATATAATACAAATTAGTTAAAAAAATTGAATTTTAAGCTTTCGAGATCACTTCTTCGAAAAATTTTCGAATGCACATCCGATGACGTCATATGATTCCTTAACAACGGTTGCTATGCATCCCAGCATCCTACTGTATTTTTTTGCTTTGTGTCTATTAAAATATTAAAAAAAACTCCTTTTTTAAATCAAAATAAATATATGAGAGGTTTGATTTTTTTTTTTAAAAGTATAAAATACGTGTTTTTCATAAATAATATAATATGAGGTCTTATATACATTTTACAACAGTTTTTAAATTGAACGTTTATTTAAAAAATTCTTATAATAATAATAATAATATTTCTTTTTCTTATTTTCATATTCAGCTTATCTTAAGTTCTTAATAATTCGATTTTCCATTTAAACAGGATAAAAAATTTAAATCATTTGGCTTCCAGAGCATTAATTATTTCTAAAAAAAAAACAAAAAAAAAATGATGACAGTTGTAAATAATAATAATAATGTAGGAAAAAGTAAAATTTGAAAAAATTGAAATTTACTTTTAGCAATTTCCGTAAATGCTTCAGCAGCAGAAGAACTTTTAAATTCGGTTAAAAAATCTTTACCCTCATCACAAGCTCTGGCTAATTTCGGATCCATGGGCAATTTTCCCAAAAAAGGAACATTTAAATCCGAACACATTTTCAACGCGCCACCCGTTTTTGCAGCAAATATTTCTGATGATTTCTAAAAACGAAAAAATTTAATGAACTCTACGATTCAACATCTTTCACTTATTAAAATTAGCGTTAAAAAACATTTCCTACCGAACAATTTGGACAAGTGAAACAAGACATATTTTCAACGACACCTAAAATGGGAATATTAACTTTTTTGCAAAAGTCAATTTCCTTTCTTACATCTAAAAGTGATACCTCTTCGGGTGTTGTTATAATTAAGGCTCCTGATAAGTTTGTCTAAAATAAAAGAAGTTAATAAGTTTGTTAATTCTCGAATAACGAAAAAGAAAAGAAAATCAAAAATTAAAATGACTATTTATTACATGTTTTAAATAATTAAAAACGGATAAATGCTCGTCACTGGTACCCGGAGGAGTATCAACCAATAAATATTCTAACTGTCCCCAATCAACATCGGATAAAAATTGACGAATCATGGCGTTTTTCTTGGGACCTCGCCAAATAACGGCTTCGTTTGGTCTACCCAAAAGAAATCCGATAGACATGACACTTAAATTATCTTCAACAAACTGAAAATAATAATGAAGGGATTGCACAATAAAAAAAAAACAATTAGAAAATGGCGGTTAAATAATTTAAGTTAAAAATTTTGAAAAAACTTACAATTGGAGACCATCCCGATCCACTATTATGAACTTCTTCTTGTAACGTACCCATCATTCTTGGAATTGATGGACCACATATATCAATATCGCAAATGCCTATCTGAAAAATTAAAATTATAAATAAAAATTTCACGACATATTTTACAAGTATAAAAACTAAGCGCTGTTGCAACGAATGGTTCAGTTTGATTCCGGAACTCGGCGACAAATTGTCGTTTCTCTCTCTCTCTCTCTCTCTCACTCTCTCAGTCAAATTAACTTCTTTTTTTGTCCGTTATTTTAAACTTTACAAAAAAAAAAAAAAAAATGTCGACTTATCAAAAGGATTATTCGTATCATCGTCCACTGGTGAGTTTGAAATATTTTACAAAAAAAAGAAATTAACAAATATTTTAGATTTAAAAAAAAAATAAAATGTAATAATTTATTAAATAGTGGAATTTTTTTGCGGTAAGTTATTTTAAAAGATAATAATAATAAAATAAATACGTTAAAATTGAAAATTTATTTTTTTGAAATGATTTTGAATTATTCGAACGCATTTTTTCTATATTACATTAAATGCTTTTTTTTTTTTTTTTTATTTTAAACAAAAAAAAATAAACTTTTATGTAGTAGTTTATAATGTACGTAAAGTAACATAATAGTAAAAAGTTTTTTATTGGTATTTTTTAAAAGTTTTTTTCGGTTTTTTTTCAATTTGAAACAAAAAAAATGAATGTAGAAAATATTTTTTCCCCACGGATTATTGATCTTTACGAAAAATAAAATAGTTTACTATGGAGAAATTTAAAATATTAACATATATTTATACAGTACCATTTTACGCATTTCACAAGTGACCTCATTTACGAGGGGATCGATTTGAAAATAAATGATAATAATAGAAATAATTTTTTTTTTAAATTTAATAAAAATAAATGCAAATCGTTGCACGTTTTTATGAATAAAATCTGAATTTTTCACAATTTTCAAAAATTTTTACTTTAGTAAACTCAAGAAAAAATTAGGTTTGACGCCATTTCAGAATTCGTTTAAAATAAAACAAAAAGCAAATCATTTGTAAGCAATTAATTAAGAAATTTTATTGTAGAAATATAAAAGTTATTCGTTTATAACCAAGACAATTAAAAATTTATTAGTTATAGGCTGCATATTAAACTAAAATGCATTACTAATTCTTTCGATATCATGCCAAATAATTTTTTAGTTCTTTTTAATTGAGACATAATTGTTTAAATTTACTTTTATTTTATATTTAATTTGTCCTGAATTTTTTTTACTTTATTATATTTACTATTTACAATTTACATTACCGAGTTTTAAATATTTCTATATATATGAATTCCGAAAAACTAATTATTAAAATTGAAAACAATTCAAATTAAATTTAAATTTTATATTCAGAAAAAAACATTTTTTTAATTAACAAATAAATCAATAGAAAAAATTTTCATTTGTCTACAATTTAAAATAATAAATAATTAAATAAAAACATAATGATCGTAACAAATGTATTTAATTTGAAGTAAAAAAATCTTTGTTTTCCAAAACTGTTACTGGTCTTTATAAAACAAAAACTAATAAATTTTTTTTATTGAAAGAAGGTACAGTGAAAGAAGGGATTTTAATTCATTTTAGTATTTTGTAATATTGCATATATTGCACAATTTAGTAAGTAACACAAAAATTAATTTATGTAAAAATTTTTTCGTTAGCTCTAAACATAATTTGCAAACTACAATTTAAAAATATTATTACTGATATAATATGCATAAAAATGTAATAAAACATTTTTATTATTTAATATCTATACACTGTGTTGAATAAAAACAATGCAAATGATTTTGTTAAAATAAAGCATCAAGTTTTATGATGACTTACATTTTTGGTATCTAGCGAATTAGCTAAATATCTTCCTAATAATGAAGTAAATGTACTTTTACCTACACCACCTTTTCCAGACAAAATCAAAATTTTATGTCTAACTTCATCTAGTCTCTGTTTAACTAGTGCAATACCTAAAATGAATTAAATTTAAATTACAATTATTTTATCATAATTTTAATTTGAAATAAAATATTAATATGGCAAATTATTTAACTTTTTAAATAAACAAATTTACCTGGATCAGTTTTAGTAACTCCTGAACTACATATATTTTGATTGGGACATCCTTCACAGGCTGAAACCTTACCGGCTAAATTACTGTTGACACCGGGGCAATCTGAAATAATGATTAATGGTGAAAATTATAAAATATTTACAAATCATTATTATTTTGTATCATTGGATTGACATTATGATAATGTTACAGAAATTAAAGACTTACGTTCGTTGATAACACTATTATCAGCCATCTTTTTGCACAACTACAATGAATAATATAAACTTCGTATAACGGCGACACTATTTGGCGCCATATCACCATGACTACAAATCATATACTTTTTTACCCAAGTTAAGACTTTAAATAATTTTTTCCAGTTTTATTATTCTTATTTTTTTTAAATAAAACTAAATTTTAAATTAAAAAAATTCAAAATGAGTTCTAACAAAGTTATGTATTCTGTAAGTATAAGTTTATTTTTACCTAACTTTATTATTATAAATAAATAATTTAAAACAAGAGTTGGAACAAGGTTATTGTACACTAAAATTATGTCAAACATGATTTTGTTGAAAGATCGGTTTCTTAAAAAATTTAATAAAATTTTAAATAATGTCTTTTTTTTTTTTTTTGTAAAATTACAAATAAACTTATTTTTAGCAAATGCAAAATTGGAGTACCGTTGGAGTGGAACCTTGTATGGAGCAAACCATGGGTCCAGGTGTTCCACCAAGGGTTGGTCAGTTTCATCAAACTCCAAAAAATCATCCGTGGAGACCCACTTTGGGATATGAAAATGTTGAAGTTACTCCATTGTAAGAATTATAAAAATTTTTTCTGCTTTTGTAATTTTATTTTAATCCACTTTTAATTTTAAAATTAAAATTTTTTTAGGCCTATGCAACCGGTTACTAATTCTCTGTTAGATACATGCTATACCCCTACAGGAATGGCCACTGAGCCATTAAGGTTCCCTAACTTAGTGACAGGTTTTGATAGAAATCCTGCTAATGCAGCCAGAGCAGCTCTTTATACAAGATATACTCCATATGAATGGACGCAGAATAATATTAGTCAGTATAATGAAGCAGATTCAAACAGAAACTTTTCTGAAAAAGCTAGGGCAGATGCCTGTCGTGTAATGAGGTGATACTTGAAATTTGTTTCTACAAAGTTTACAATATAAGTTTAATACAGATAACAAAAAAAAAAAAATTGCAATTGATATACACAAGTATTTATTTTATATAGAGAAGCAGATGAACTTGCAAATTCAGCACAACGTGAAGTAGGTAGAAGAATTGGGGAAAGGATAAATGACTTAACTTTTTGGACAAGTGAACTACAGAATGAATTGGAAAAAATGGTACAAGAATCAAAGTTATTGCAAGATTCAAGAAGAGTATTGGAAAAAACTATACAAGATTTAGAAGCACCTTTACACATTGCTCAAGAATGCCTTTATCATAGAGAAAACAGAACAGGTATTTCTTTTCTTTTTAATTGACAGCAGGCAAAATTATTATAATCGAAAACATTTATTTTTTAAAATCTCTAATAAATTTTACCATCAACCATTTTAATAAAAATATGAAGTTTCTCGAATGAATGAATTTTAATTCAAATCGGCATTTAAAATTGCCTAAATTTTAGGAGTGGATCTCGTTCATGATGAAGTTGAACAATCACTCCTTCGCGAAATAAATCTAATCAAAAAATGTCAGGCAGAACTTCATTGTTTATTTAAAAAACTCAAGGATCAGGTATTAGTTGATAAATAAGTTCTCAGCATAAATTTACTTATTTTCGATAAAGTGTATTATTTGTATTTTTCTCGTGACATTTTTTATTAAAATTGTAAAAGCACAAAAAACAGGAGAGAAAATAGGTTGTATATTGTTAATATTCATATTAATATTGCAAAATGGTTGAATAAAATTTCACATGTAAAATAGGCCCTGATTTGGTGCATGATGAAGTAGAGCAAGCCTTATTAAATGAAATAGAAACAGTTAGGCACACACAAGCCTTATATAAAGATGCACTTTCAAAATTTGAAGCACAAGTGAGTACAATCGACCATGCAAAAATACTTTTTAAAAAAAAAGTGTAAAAAACATTATCGACCTAAATACTAGCACATACATTTTTAAAGAAAAATTTATTTTTTTATTTTATCTGTACATTTACCAAAATAATAATCTTAAAAATTTTAGCTGCGTAATAATAGGGCTTCTCAACATGAATTAGAAAGAGATTTGAGAATGAAGGAACAAGCCATGGGTATTGATAATCTTGCGCATTCTTTAAATAATTTTTCCAGAGGTATTAATTATTACGGTGGAATAGAAAATTATGACAACACGTGAGTAATCAATTTTTTATTTTTTAAAAAAATTCCCTTCATTTGCGACACTTATTAATGTAATTTTTCTTCTCATCTAGAATCACAACGCCAGAGACGTGGATTGAATTTTCTAATCAAAACATACAAAAATCACAAGCTGAGCGAGCAAAATCAGCTCAAATTCGAACTGATACTGATAATATAATTAACGCTCATGCAAATGATTGTTGGAACGCTTGGACTTCCACAAATGCTGCATTAGAACGTCGAGCAAACGAAATGTTGGATGCTAAGCAAAAATTACAGATGCATCTTCACAAGGTAATATTTGAATTGCAATTCATTTCAAATCTAATTGTAAATTTTTAATTATTCTTTTTTTTTTTTTTTTTATTTTGTTCAAATAACATAATTTTGTCGTAAGTGATTCAATAACTTTGATTTTTTTGTTTACTATTCGATTAGATTCAACGTGAGATATTTGATGTGGAGAAAAATATTGAAATGTTGAGAAAATCAATCCAAGATAAATCTTTGCCATTAAAAGTAGCTCAAACGAGACTTGAAGCAAGAGCTCACAGGCAAGAGATTGAATTATGTCGAGATCCAGCTCAAAACAGGTAATTTTACTATTAGAAAAAAAAAAAGAAATGATTTTAATTTAAATGATTTTAACTGACATACTTTTTTAATTTATAATTTTTTAGATTAGTAATTGAAATTAAAGATATTCAAGATTCCATTGAAAAACTTCATTTAAAACTTCAAGAAGCAGAAGCTCAACATCAGCAACTTTTAAAAACGAGAAGCAATCTCGAGTCAGAACTTGCAAATAAAGTAAATTCATTATTTATCGATAGAGAAAAATGTCTTGGAATGAGAAGATCTTATCCTATAACAGCAACTATTAAATATTAATATCTCCAAAAGATTTTAAAAAAAAAGAAAAAAAGTAAAAAAAAAATCATTAGTTATACTGCCACATGTATTCTTTGTTGAATATTTCAAAAAAAATTCTTCACTTAATATTTGCATTTAAGTAAATAACTTTTTCAAAGGTAAATTATTACTATTGTTTATAATTCTCAATTTAAATTTAAAATTTTTGATTGCTTAAAATTATTTTAAATAATCACCAAAAGTGTTCGATAACAAAAAAATTTATTATTTATAATTTTTTCGAATATATTTATTTAAAAAAAAGCACTCAAAACAAATTTTTTTTTTTTGCGTACATTAATTATTTATTATCTTAACTTAAGTTTTATAAACAAAATTTATTAATTAATAACAAATTAATTTAATATTAAATTATGTGACTGAAACTGAAAAATATTTTTTACAGTATTTAAAATATTAATTATTATCTAAAACAGATTTTTTAAATAAATTACTTTTTATTAAATGTAAGAGGCATTCCAGGTTTGGCTTCGAAAAACGTATAAGAAAGTATAATTTCATTTATATTTTCCATTTGAGGATCATCACAAAATTCAGGATCAATGTAGAAAAATACAGGCATATCCACCTATAAAAAAATATAAAAAGTTAACACAATTTTGATATGTAATTATAAAATTAAAGGAAAATTTACATACCTGTTCGTTTGGATTTAATTGTTGCTCTTCAAAGCAAAAACACTGGATTTTATTAAAATAAGGAGCTGCATTAAAAGGTAATATATTATATGTACTTATTCCAGTAATCGGCACATCCGTTGGATTGGTAGCAGTGTAAAATGCTAAAGCTGTTTCTCCTGGATAAACCTAATTGAATAAATTTTTATTCATTTGATATTATTATTATAAAATTTGTATAATGTATATATTAAATGTAAATAACAAACCAAAAGATCTTTTTGTTGAGGTTTAAATTGCCAACTCATTTTAGATCCAACATCCGAATTAAATTTAACTTTAATGGGTCTGCTACGGTCAATCTTTAAATTTTGTATTTTTTCACCGCCAATATCGTGACGAACACTTCCTCCATAACCTGTAGACTAAATTTGTTTTTTAAACTAATATTGATTTTAAAAAATAAGATTCTAAATGATAAAACGTAAAAACCAACTTGACAAAATATTCTATAAAGTGGAACTGCAGCAAATGAAACACCCAAAGTTAAAATTCCAATAGCTACCGCATAATTTCTTACGGATTTTTTTTTTTCTATAAAATCCAAATTTCTCGGATATTGAATTTTTTGAGAATACTGACGATTGTTTGAAAATAAAATATTTGCTCCATTATTAATTACAAAACTAGATTTTAGTCTGAAATTTCCATTATATGTATATTGACAGTTTTTTATTAAAAATAAATATTTTGTATACATTTTTAACATTTACATCACATTTTCAGATAGAAACGACCATTTTGTCGTCGTCTGCTAGATGGCGCAAATTTTTTTTTTAAAATCTTCTAGAAACTTTTGGATTAAATGAGAAACTGATGGTAAGTGATTATTCGAATTGTTATTTTACGCCATGAAAAAAAAAAAATACTTTTATGACTTTATTTGTTGTAAATAATTTATAAAAAGACTTTTTTATTTTTCTATTTTAACAAAATCGTTAATTGAAGTTTACTCTGGTAAGTTTTGACAATTAGGTTTTTTTTTTTTTTTCATTTAACTAATAACATAATTAATGAAATTTATGATTTACTGAAATCTCCTTAGAAACAAAATCAATATAAATAAGTTTAAGTTAATGTTGCTATGAAATCTGTTTACTTTTAAAAAAAAAGTGTGTTATTAAATATTGCATTCTTCATGTCGTTACTTCGACATGACCGACATGGCTGAAATATATATTGATATTGGGTCACTTAAATTTACTTATTTATAATTTATATAAAAAAGTACAATGGGAGATAAAACTGCCGAGGAAGATCTTCGATTAGAATTTATTAGTGATTATCTCTCGAAAACATTACGTCTTAAATCCGATAAATGGCCAAAATTGCTTGGAAATGAAGATTATAAGGTAAATTATTTTTAAAGTTAAATTTAATAATTTTTTTTTTTTTTTCCTTTCAAATTAAGGCAAAATTTTTTAAATCATTTTTTTTTTTTTTTTAGTCTGTTTTAATGGAATTTTTAAATAATCCTAAAGTAAAAACAATTATTTTTACAATTAATAATTCTGGATTACTACAACCCCTTCTCACATATCCTCCCAATCCCAAAAATAAATCAGTTTACTTTATTAAAAAAGAAGAAGAAGCTGCAACGGTCGAAAACATTTCTAAACTTTGTATTTTCGGTGACATGGCTCCTAATCCTGTAGAAGAATTGTCTGTTTTAATTGAAGAGGTAAAAATAAATGAAAATTAATTTTTTTACTTTTGAAAATACATAAAGTGTACAAAAATGAATTACAGTTATTTGTACCACTTCTATCCAATCCTGACAATCAAGAAGGGTGGCCTAAGTGTGTAGCAGAAGATGTAATGACGCATATTCATGCATTTAGAGGAACAGTTTATCAAATAAAAGGCAAAATTACCGGACAGACTCTTTTACCCATGCCAGTTGGAATAGAAAAAGTTTATCAAGAAGTTCAAAATTTAATTGAATCGTAGGGTATCGATTTTATGCTCTATTAATTGGGAAAAATATTATTTAAAAACAATTTATTTTTAATGTTATATTTTCAGACAAGGTAAATCAGTAAATCTTCAACTAAAAAGTGCTATTGAAGGTGCAGTTATTAAATGGGCTCATCAGATAAATGATGTTTTATCTGAATCTACTGATATTTTGTTTAAAAACAATAATCATCCATTGCCTGAATCAGAGGTAATGCACAAATAATACAGTAAATAATAATAATCAGGAATAATATTCCTTTAATGAAATTAAATATCAGTGCCAACCACTAATGAAGTGATTGATGATTCAACACAAAAATTTCAGATAAATTTTTGGAATCAACGTTTGAAAAATTTAGAATCTATATTTGATCAATTAAGAGATCCAAGAATTAAAAAAATGGCAATTGTTTTAGAGATTACAGAGAGCAGTTACACACTTACTTTTAAAACTTTCTTTAGAAATTTAGTAGCAGGTATTCCAACATATTGTAAATCTAATGCAAACATTTTGCTTTCTAATGCCACATTTCACATTTTTTATGTACTTGAAAAATTTTCTTTTTAGCCATTATTGAAGCTAAGGATGTGTGTTTACATCTAAACCCTTTATTAAAAATGTTTGATGATTTTCAAGGACTTGATTTTAATGTAGCCACTCAATATTTGGAACCAATTTTACATTGTATTTGTTTGGTTTGGGCACATAGTAGATATTATTGTCTTTCTAAAAGAATAGTTACTTTATTAAAAATGTTTGGAAATAGTATTGTTGAACAGGTATATTTTAATTTTTATTATTATTATTTTACAAATTATTTATTTATTTATAATCACCCCGTTTAAATTATTTAGTGCATGAAACAAATAGATCCTGGTTCGGTTTTTCAAGGAGATCAAGAAAATACAAGAAATCATATAATTTTTTTTGAAAAAAAACTAAGTGATTTTCTGTAAGTCAAATTTTTATTACACATTTAAAAAAAAAAAGCAATTTTCCTATAGAAAATTTCTTATTTTATTTGCAGGAAAACATTTGAAAAATATCGGGAAGCATTATTAACTTATTTTCCGGAGGGTATCGAACCTAAACCTTGGAGTTTTAAGGCACACATTCCTTTTCAAAGACTTATTGATTTTATTGAAAGGCTGAATAAATTAATTGTAGGTTTACAATTTTTAGGTTAGATGAAAGATTTTTAAAGAAATTTTAAAAACATTATTCATACTAAACTAAAATTAAGTTTCTCACCAATGATTTTTATAGTAATTTCTGTAAAATTTAGAGTTATAGAAGTTTTACAATAGCAGTTGTATATAATTGTTAAAAAGTGTATTTTGTTTCAAAATCTGTATATTTGACAATCAAAAATTGTTTTTTTTTTTTGTGTTTAAATCAGTGTTATTAATGACGAAAGAAACGTTAAAATTAAATGTTTAAAAATTAAAAAAAAAAAAACGTTACCTTTTTTTTAATTATTCGGGACGTTATTTTTAGGATTTTTTAGGAACAGTCGTAGATTTTCAAAAACTGGATCGTATTGAGTTTGCCGGAATCAAAGGAAGAAATTTAGGATTTAAAATACAGGAAATGATGAATGAATTTCAAACTGCTTGGATGATTTTCAATACAGCCACTTACGATTGTTTAGAACCTGACGTTAATTCTTTTATAATTGATTATGAGAAATTTCAATTAATAGCTTATGACTTTGATAGACGTCTTGCATCAATTTTTGTTCAAGCTTTTGATGAATGTTGCAATCTTGAAAGTTTATTTAAAGTAAGCGGTTTAAAAGTTTTAAATTTTAACTTAAATTAATTTTTTAAGACGCGTTTTTTTAAATTCATTATTTCAACTTATTTCTAACTATTACATACTTTTACCTTCAGTTGTGTAACATTATGGGATCCTTTGCTAAGAGACCTGTTATAAAAAAAACACTTGAGCCCAAATACAAAATAATTTTGGAATATTTCGAAGAAGAATTAAATATGTGTAAAAAAATTTACGATGAAATGCTATTAGAATATCAAAAAACTGGTTTTTACAAAGTTGATCGATTTTGGGCGCAGGTATCCGGTATTATTTGCTGGATTATTAAAATGAAGGGAAGAGTTGATTACCCTATTGAACCAATGAAAATGTTAGAGTATCCGTAAGTCACATGGTTTTTTTTTTTTCAACTAATCGTCATTAATAAATCCATGTTTTGTACGCTAATCAAAAATTTTTAAAAAGTATTTTAGAGTCTCCCGAAGCTCAATATTTGGTTGACAAACATGATCAAATGATGACACTATTAGATAATTTGGAGAAAACTACTTTGGATAATTGGACAAAAAAAGCACCAGGATTAATAGATGTTTGTTTAAGAAAACCAATGCTGATAAGAAGCACTGATAACAATATGCTTTCATTAAACTTTGATCCCATTGTACGTTGAAAAAAAATTTAAAAAAAGGATTTTTTTTTTCCTAGCTAATCATTTTTAATTGAATTTATTTTTAGCTTGTTTGCATGTTCAGAGAAATTCGATACTTGAATGCAATTGGTCCTTATCCCTTTCCAATTGCCATAACAGAATTTTATGATAGAGTCGAGCAGTTTTATTCATTCGTTCATAATTTAAATCAGTTAATAAGCTGGTATAATCAAATTAGGCAAAGATCTCGACCTGTGGAATTTAACCTTTTTGAAGATGAAATAACATTAATTGATATGCTATTAGATGGAGGAATTCAATATTTAGATTGGAATTCTCCTGGTAATCCCCTTCCCGGGAAAAATTCATTTTTTAATAACATGCTTATTAAAACCGGAATTAAATTGTGAATTTTTTTTTTTTTTTTTTAGAGGCGGAAGTTTTTATTTTAAAATCTCGTTATCTGATAAAAAAACTGTTTGACAGAGTTATAGAAGCTCAAGAAAATGCTGCATTAATTTATCAATTAATATTTCAATGGAGTAATGAGCCTCTCTATGAAAGGACTGCACCACGTCAACTTTTAGGATACGAAGATAGGGTTCACAGAGTTAGAACCAGGTATATTAGCGATCAAAATACAACACGTTAACAAAAAAAAATTAAATTTTTATAATTTAAGAGAAATAAATTTAATTTTTGTTTTTTAGAAACGAGAGTATCACTCAAGCCGGTGAAGATATTCATGAATTAATACAAATAAATTATCATTTGCTTCTTGATATTCCTTTACCAGAGCATTTAATTGCATCCGACGATGAAAAAAAAATCGGTAATTATAATTTAATTCTGCATTTTAAAAAACGCGTATGCAACTAAGTTTAACATGTATTATAATAAATATGAATAAAATTTATATAAAAACATATTCGTAAAAAAAAAAATTTTAGAAGAAGAAGAAGAAGAAGCTGTTGGAGGTACAGAAGAAGAACAGCCAGTAGCAGTAAAAAAAAAGAAAACGCATTTAAAGAAAAGAAGAATTGAAGAACCCATAAGTCCTTTACTTGCGGGAGTTTTGGTAAGTTTTAATTTAAACTTTTTAGAATAATTCTTAACCGTTAAAAATAAAAATGTACTACTATTTTTCAAAATCACATTTTTTTAAAATTTATCAACACGTAAAATCGCTCACCTTTAAAAAAAAATGTTTCTGAAAATATCTTAAATAAAAAAAAAAATTAAAAATGAATTTTTATTTGTCTTTTACAAAGAATTTTCTTCTTTTTTTTTTTTTTTAGGATCCTCCTCGACTTTTACCACCTCTTGATTACAGAAAAGACGAGTAAGTTTTTTTACATTATGATTTTTAATTACTAAACTAAATTTATCCAATTAAAAATTAAAAAAAAAAAAAAAAAAATTTTTTTTAAATAAAGTTTAAGAAAAAAAAAGGCACAAAAGTCGGATAAAGATGGTGAGCGGCCTAAAACACACGATACGCCTGCACCAGGTCCTCCAGCTTCTTTTACATTAAGTCCTTCCGTTCCACAACAATCCCTTGAATATTTATGGGAACAAAGAAGAATTAAATGGGAAGCTTATTTAGATTACGTTGATCAAGTGGTTGTCGCGGGAATATTAAGCTCCATAGCATGCAGGTAAAAAAATGTAAAATGTAAATTAAAAAAATAAATAAATAAACAGTTTTTTATTTATTTTTTTTTTTGAATATTTTTTTAGTATTGGTTATTTAATAGATGAAACTGACTCATCTGTAAAAGATCGTTTGCCTCTTTTTGAAGTTTCGTTGGAACTTCAAGAACCTAGTTTAATTTTTATTCCCTCTCTTGGTGAAAATTCTGCTTTCATGGATTTGATAAACCTTATAGAAGAAGACATATTTAACGTTGGGAAATTAATTCGTAGAGTAGCATCACATAAAGAATGGCCTGATTACGAGGTAATCTTTCGGATAGATGAAACTGAGACGATAGAATAAAAACTGAGACGTGTATATTTTTTTTTATAGTATGAAGCAAGAGGTTGCTTAGATCTTCATGAAATGGGTGCAGAACTCATCGTGCGAGCCAAAGTTGTCATGTTCGATGCCCTTCGTTATGCAGATACCCTTTTGGAATATTCTTATTTATGGTTGGACGATAAGCAGGAATGCTTGAGCGTTTTCTTAAAGTAAATTTAATTTTAATAAATAACATTCGTTCAAATATTTTTAAGATTATAAACGAAAAAAAAAAAAAAAATTTTTTTTTTTTTATAAACAACAGATATGGTAGATTATTGACAAAAGAAGAACAAGAAATCGTTCTTACAACGGGAGATGTAAATGCTTTGGGTTTGACGGAAAGATTTCCCAGTACCAATGATTTTAAACAAATAATTGACAATTATAATGATCTTTACAAAGAATTAGATAATAAACTTGAAATAAAAAAAGTATTTGAAAATTGGTTTCAAGTCGATTGCAAACCATTTAAAAATGCTTTGTTAAATACTATTTGCAAATGGGCAAATTTATTTAAAAATCATTTATATAATTATGTTTTAGACAGGTTTGAAAGAACAGACATTTTTCAGACATTTTTGATAGAACCGTTTTGATATTTAGGATTTTTTTAATAAAATTTTTATAACCATACTAACAGCATAAGCGAACTAGAGGAATTTATAATAGAATCTGACGGTGTGCTACTGCTACCGGTCGAAGAAGGGGATTATGATGCTTTAGTACGAGTCATGGCAGTTTTAAAAAAAATCAGAGATAGACAATTTGAAACGGACGAAATGTTTAAACCATTGCGAGAAACAATAGAATTACTTAAAACATACGAAGTCGAATTTTCCGAAGAAACTTATATTCAATTACAAGTAAAAGAAAATTTTTTTAAAAAATTTTTTCACGAATTATTAAATTTAAAATATTTAAAATTATTATTATTGTAAAAAAAATAGGAATTGCCTGATAAATGGAACAATTTGAAAAAATTAGCAGTTGCAGTAAAACAAATGATTGCACCATTAGTTGCAAAACAAGTGAATATAATAAGAAAAAGAATTATGTTATTCGATTTGCGACAAAATTTATACAAAGAAGCATTTAAAAAACTTCCATTTTATTCGTAAGATGATTTATTAAACTAGTAAAATAAGAAAATTCAAATTTGTTCGATATTTTTTAAAAATTAATTTATTATTTATTTATTTATTTATTTTAATTAACAGTTTTGATTGTAAAAACATTTACTCCATTTTGGATACCGTTAATGAAGAAATATCAAAAATGGAAACTTTGAGAGATAAAATAACAAAACAAGCTGAATTATTCGAAGTTAATGTACCCGAATTCCTTACTTTGATTCAAGTTCGAAAAGATTTAAAATCTATAAAAGTTTGTAAATTTTCGTTCAGTCAGAAAATTTTTGTTTATTTAAAAAAAATTTAAATTAAAAAAAAAAAAAAAAAAAAATTTTTGTCTTTAGTTATTATGGGACTATGTAAATATAATAGAAGCTTGGTTTGTCGAATGGAAAGCGACGTCGTGGAAAAATATCGATATTGAGGGAGTAGATTTCGAATGTAAAAGATTCGGAAAAGAACTTCGCGGTAATTTTTATTTAAATAAAATTTTTCTTCAGATTCATTCATTTATTTTTTAATATAAAATTTTCCTCTTTTTTGATCTTTTCTTCTGCAGGTTTAGATAAAGAAGTTCGATCGTGGAATGTTTACATAACGACGGAAGCAAATCTTAAAAATATGATGACTTCATTA